AATGGGGTTAAAAAGTGGAATAATGGGGTTCCAGGTGGGATAATGGGGTTAAACAGTGGAATAATGGGGATCCAGGTGGAAAAATGGAGTTAAAAAGTGGAATAATGGGGTTAAAAGTGGAATAATGGGGTTCCAGGTGGGAAAATGGGGTTAAAAAGTGGAATAATGGGGTTCCAGGTGGGAAAATGGGGTTAAAAAGTGGAATCATGGGGTTCCAGGGGGAATAATGGGGTTAAAAAGTGGAATAATGGGGTTAAAAAGTGGAATAATGGGGTTCCAGGTGGAAAAATGGGGTTAAAAAGTGGAATAATGGGGTTCAGGTGGAAAAATGGGGTTAAAAAGTGGAATAATGGGTTACAGATGGAATAATGGTGTTCCAGGTGGAATAATGGGGTTAAAAAGTGGAATAATGGGGTTCCAGGTGAAAAAATGGGGTTAAAAAGTGGAAGAATGGGGTTAAAAAGTGGAATAATGGGGTTCCAGGTGGGATAATGGGGTTCCAGGGGGGAATAAAGGGGTTAAAGATGGAATAAAGTGGTGACAGATGGAATAATGAGGTTGCAGGTGAAGCAGAGATGGAATAAAAGGGTTACAGGTGGAATAAAACTTACAGATGGAATAATTGGGATACAGGTAGAATAAAGGGGTTACAGGGGGAATAATGGGGTTCCAGGTGGAATTAAGGGGTAACAGATGGAATAATGGGGTTACAGATTGAATAAAGGGGTTACAGGTGGGATAATGGGGTTACAGGTGGAATAAGGGGATTAAAGGTCGAATTAAGGGGTTACAGGTGGAATAAAGGGGTTTCAGCTAGAAAAATTGGGTTACAGGGGGAATAATGGGGTTCCAGGTGGAATAATAGGGTTACAGGTGGAATTAAGGGTTTTAGGTGGGATAATGGGGTTCCAGGTAGAATAAAGGTGTTTGACGTGGAATGATGGGGTTCCAGATGGAATAAAAGGGTTATAGATGGAATTAAGGGGTTACAGATGGGATAATGGGGGTTCCAGGTGGAATAATAGGATTGCAGGTGGGATAAAGGGATTAAAGGTGGAATGAAGGTGTTCCAGGGGGAATAATGGGGTTAAAGGTGGAAAAATGGAGGTACAGGTGGAATAAGGGTGTTACAGGTGGAATTAAGGGGTTAGAGTGGGATAATGGGGTAAGAGATGGAATAATGGGGTTACAGATGGAATAATGGGATTAAAGGTGGAAAAATGGGGATACAGATGGGAAAATGGGGTTACAGGTGGGATAAAGGGGTTAAAGGTGGAATAATGGAGTTACAGGGGGAATAATGAGGATGCAGGTGGAATAATGGGGTTACAGATGGAATAAAGTGGTTCCAGCTGGGATAAAGGGGTTCAAGCTGGAATAAAGGGGTTCTAGGTGGAACAAAGGATTCCAGCTGGGATGAAGGATTCCAGCTGGGATGAAGGATTCCAGCTGGGATGAAGGGTTCCCGATGGGATGAAGGATTCCCGTTGGGATGAAGGATTCCCAATGGGATGAAGGATTCCAGCTGGGACGAAGGGTTCCAGTTGGGATGAAGGGTTCCAGATGGGATGAAGGGTTCCAGATGGGATGAAGGATTCCCGTTGGGATGAAGGATTCCCGATGGGATGAAGGGTTCCAGCTGGGATGAAGGATTCCCGTTGGGATGAAGGATTCCTGTTGGGATGTAGGGTTCCAGCTGGGATGAAGGATTCCAGCTGGGATGAAGGGTTCCAGCTGGGATGAAGGATTCCTGCTGGGATGAAGGATTCCCGTTGGGATGAAGGGTTCCAGGTGGAATAAAGGATTCCAGATGGGATGAAGGATTCCAGCTGGGATGAAGGATTCCCATTGGGATGAAGGATTCCTGCTGGGATGAAGGATTCCAGCTGGGATGAAGGATTGCAGATAGGATGAAGGATTCCAGTTGGGATGAAGGGTTCCAGCTGGGATGAAGGGTTCCCGTTGGGATGAAGGATTCCAGATGGGATGAAGGATTCCAGATGGGATGAAGGATTCCCGTTGGGATGAAGGATTCCAGCTGGGATGAAGGGTTCCTGTTGGGATGCAGGATTCCCGTTGGGATGAAGGGTTTCCGATGGGATGAAGGATTCGCATTGGGATGAAGGGTTGCAGCTGGGATGAAGGATTCCTTTTGGGATGAAGGATTCCAGCTGGGATGAAGGATTCCTTTTGGGATGAAGGATTCCAGCTGGGATGAAGGATTC